GAAGGACCATATACTAGAAACCTACAGCCAATATCATACTCAACGGGCAAAAACTAGAAGCTTTCCCACTAAGATAGGGAACAGGAAAAGGATGTCTGCTTTCACCACTTCTATTCAACATAGCATTGGGAGTCCTAGCCACGGAAATCAGACAAGAAAAAGAAATAAAGGCATCTAAACTGGAAAGGAGGAAGTAAAACTGTCACTGTTTGCAGATGGCATGATAGTGTACATAGAGAACCCTATAGACCTCACCAAAAAACTGCTTGACCTAATAAGTGAATGTGACTAAACAGTCAGATAGAAAGTCAATACTCAGAAATGGAAGGCATTTTTGTACACCAACAATGAAATATCATAATTAGAAATCAAGAAAAATAATCCCACTTACTATAGCAATAAGAAAAATAAAGTGCCTATGAATAAACTTAACCAAGGAGGTAAAAGACCTGTACTCAGAAAACTACCAAACACTGAAGATTGAAATAAGAGAGACACAAATAAATGGAAGCATATACCATGTTCATGGACTGGAAGAGTTAACATCATCAAAATGTCCATACTACCCAAAGCAATTCATAGATTTGATGCAGTCCCTATGAAAATACCAATGATGTACTTCACAGTATAGAACAAACATTTCAAAAATTTATGCGGAACCATAAATGACCCAGAATGGCCTCAGCAATTTTGAGAAAGAAGAACAAAATAGGAGGGATCACAATACCTGATATAAAACTATATTATAAGGCCACTGTAATCAAGACAGTCTGGTACTGGCATAGAAACAGACATATAGATCAATGGAACAGGATAGAGAGCCCAGAAAGAAACCCATGTCTCTATGGTCAATTAATATTCAACAAAGGGGACAGAAGCATAAAATGGAGTAAAAATAGCCTGTCCAACAAATGGTGTCAGGAGATCTGGACAGCTTTGTGCAAAAAAAAAAAAAAAAAAAAAAAGAAAGAAAGAAAGAAAGAAAGAAAGAAAGAAAAGAAAAGAATAGAAACTAGACCACCAAATTACACCACTCACAAAAATAAACTCAGGATGGATAAAAGGCTTAAATATAAGTTGTGACACCATAAAAGTCCTAGTGGAGAACATAGGCAGGAGACTCAGATATCCCACGCAGCAATATTTTCACCAATATGTCCCCTAGTGAAAGAGATATAAAGGAAAAAAATAAATAAATGGGAGTACATCGAGTTAAAAAGCTTTTCAACGGCTAATGAAAACATCAGCAAAATGAAAAGGGAACCAACTCTATGAGAACGTATATTGCCAGTGATACCTTGGACAAGGGTTTGATCTCCAAAATATATAAAGAACTCACATGACTCCACTCCAGGAAGACAAACAATCCAATTAAAAAATGGGCAAAAGACTGGAACGGACATTTCTCCAAGGAAGACATGCCAGAGGGCCCAGAGACATATGAAAGGATGCTCAGCATCACTAGCCATCAGAGAGATGCAAGTTAAAACCACGGTGAGATACCACTTCACACCAGCCAGAATGGCCGTAATAAACAAATCAGTAAACAATAAATGCTGGCCGGGATGTGGAGAAAAGGGAAACCTAGCACTCTGTTGTTGGGAATGCAGACTGGTGTAACCTGTGTAGAAAACAGTATGGAATTTCCTCAAAAAACTGAATATGAAATTGCCTTTTGACCCTGCAATTCTACTGCTGGGATTATACCCTCAGAATCCAGAAACACCAATTCAAAAGAACCTATGCACCCCAACATTTATAGCAGCATTATTTATAACAGCCAAGTGCTGGAAACAGCCTAAATACCCATCAATAAATGAGTGGATCAAAAAACCATGGTGCATTTACACAGTGGAATACTACGCAGGAGAAAGAAAGAAAGAGTTACTCTCTTTTGCAACAGTATAGATGGAACTGGAGAGCATTATGCCAAGTGAAATAAATCAGGAAGTAAAGGGCAAATACCATATGATCTCACCTATAAGTGGAACCTAACCAACAGAAGAAACAAGCAAGAACAATATAAACAGAAACATTGAAAGAAAAAACAAATGGCAGTAATGAGAGGGGATCGCAGAAGTGGGTAACAGGGAAAAGAAGGAGAAGGGTCAAACCAAGGAACATTTATAAAGGACCCATTGACAAAGCCAAAGTGGGGAAGAATCGAGGGTGGGAGGTGGGGGTGGATGGGACAGGGAAAGTGGTGGGGGAAAATGGAGACAAATATATTTGAACAATTATACACACACACACACACACACACACACACATACAATAAGGATTAAATTTTAAAAATTAAAATAAAATAATAGGACCTAAATGATCCAATAGCATTTCTTTTTTAACTGTCAACTCTTCTTAATGTCATTGGTGTTAGAGAAGGCCTCATTTGAGTAGCTGTTTCTCATTAATTCTATTACTTATTAGTATAAATATTGATGAGGAAGGAATGATTCTGGATTCCAGCTCTTTTAGTGTGGCAAGAGGAGTGAACAAAGGCTGCTGATGAGAAACTTACACGTGATTTGTGTCAAGAGGAGACACTCCTTGCTCCAACTTATCACATGCTTCAGAAAGCTGCTTCTAATGTTACTCTTCTCCAGAAACCAACCCGCCACCACTCCAGTTAGTCTTTGCTCGATGGGCAGTGAAATGACAGGGGTATTAAAGCTAGAGGGTCTGAAACCCAATTTTATAGACTCTTGAAAACATTAAAAGGAAAAGTTCTAAGAAATTAGAGAAAAGCAGGGGACATATCTTGAGAATTTTATGATACCAAGTAAATATTCAAACAGTTTCTATTTTGTCACCCTGCCCAATTCCTGGAACAGATGAAAGACGGTGAAATTAATTGAATGGAAATCTAAAACAAATGGAATGTTTTTAAAAACTTCACTGAAGTAGCCATAATGGCTATGGCAATGCCATTTCAATAAGGGGCCTTGAGACAAAAAGCACTGCAGTTTTGGGGCAATTACAAACTTTGCGCTGGGGGTGGTGCTACTGGCTAAACTTTCACCTACTCAGAGCACGATCTACAGCCAGATCCTATACTCAGGTTTAACTGAAAGTTAATGTGAAGCCTTCCTCAGTGGGAGATGATATGGCAGCTGAGTCACAAACCGTTACATCAGTTCAAGCAGTTTAATCTTTCTCCCCATCTTCTTTGTATATAAACAAGCAAAAAGGAAGCATTAAAAAGTCTCACATGTTAAATCTATTCAGTGATGGTGGAGAGATGTCACAGCCATAGGGACCACATCTGGTTGGTGCTTAGGAAAGGAGTGTATATAAAGTGTAGTCTAATACTTCGCTGGCAAAGCTTCCCCGTGGAAAGAGTTTCATGTTAGTGAAATCTTTAGGCTTAAAGTACAGAAATCTGCTCAGGTTGCCAGAATCCATTTGGATACTGTTAACTTATCTGAGAGAACTCTAAGGGCATTTCAGACCTCTGTGATAAACTTACATCTCATCGCAACTCAAAACATTCTATATTTAGTGACGAATACTCACTGAGTGACTATAATGTGCCAAGCACTGTTCTAAGCAGCTAAACACATTCAATTTCATTAATAGTCGCCACAGCCCCAAGAGAGAGGGACTACTTTTCTGAACTACTTATAGATAAAACTGAACCTCAGAGTCATAAAATCTTTCTCAAGCTCATCCTGTAGTCAACAGTATAACCTAGATTCAAGCTCAGCTATCTGTTCCCAAATCTTGGTCTTTTAACAGTTACGAAATATTGCCTGACTAAAACCTGTGTTTAACAACTTCTGACTAGTTATTGCGGAAAGTGAATAAAATGCTATACTGTTCCTGACCTAAAGGAGATTACTAGAGTTTAAGGGTATCTAAATCTACTTATCTGCAGATAAATCTATATATCTGTATATAAATATATATGCATATGGTAATTACTTTGTATCTGTATACATACACATATACAAATAAAATATACTTACATCTCTTTATGTAGAGAGATTGTGATTAGTACAGAATCAGAGATAAGTCTAGATCCAGTTAGACATCTTGACATACAAAAAAGAATCTCATCCTAAAAGAGAGAATCCTGGAGCTGCCCTTCTCGAAGTGCACTGCCATGGTCCAAAGAGCAGGCTTTCTTTTTCTTTCATTGTTGTTTTTCATTGAATCTATGAGAGCGACATTGGTTAATAAAATTTTATCGATTTCAGGTATATGATTCAATAATATATAGTCTGTATTTTGTATTGTGTGTTCACCACCCCAAGCCAAATTTCCTTCTATCACCACTTAGCTGCCCTATACCCTGTTCTACGTTCCCTCATCATACTTTCCCTCTGGTAATCACCATACTGTTGTCTGTTTCCATGAGGACTTTTTTTTTTCTTACTTCCTTCACCTTTTCACCCAGCCAGAAAACCAGCTTCTCCTCTGAGAGCTGTCAGTCTTTACTCTAGGATTCTGTTTCTAATTTTTTAGTTTATTTTGTTCATTAGATTCCACATATTGAAATTATATGGTACTTTTTGTTCCCTCACTGGTTTATTTCAATTAGCGTAATGCTCTCCAGGTCCATCCATGCTGTTGTAAAGGGTAATATTTTCTTCTTTTTTTGCTGCCAAGTAGTATCCCATTGTGTAAATATACCACTACTTTTTTTATCCACTCATCTACAGATGGCACATGGGCTGCTTCCAAATTTTGGGGTATTGTAAATAACACTGCAATGAACATACTGGTGCATATCTTTTTTTGAATCAGTGTTTTGGGTTTTTTCAAATATATTCCTAGAAGTGGAATCACTGGGTCATAAGGCAGTTTTCCATGGAGCTTTCCACAGGGAGCTGTGCCAGTCTGCATTCCCATCAACAGTGCATGAGGGTTCCTTTTTCTCCATATCTTGAACAACATTTGTTGTTTGTTGATTTATTGATGACAGCTATTCTGACAGGTGTGAAATGATATCTCACTGGGGTTTTAAGTTGCATTTCTCTGATGCTTAGTAGGCATTAAGCATCTTTTCATATTTCTTCATAAATTTGTGTGTCATCCTTGTGCAGGGTCCATGCTAATCTTCTCTATATCATTCCAACTTCAGTATATGTGTTGCCAAAGTGAGCACAGCATCTTTTCATATTTTTATTCTCCATCTATATGTCCAGTTGGATAAATGTTTATTGAGGTCCTTGGCCATTCAAAAAAAATTAGATATATTCTTTTGATGTTGAGTTGTATAAAGTTTTTAATACAAATCCCTTATCAGATGAATCATTGGCAAATATGTTCTCCCATTCAATGGGTTGTCTTTAATTTTGTTAATGTTTTCCTTTGCTGCAAAAACTTTCTAGTTTAGTTTCGTCCCATTTGTTTATTTTTATTTGGTTTCCCTTGCCCAAGGAGGTAATCAGAAAATATATTGCTATGAGAAATATCTGAGATTTTCCAGTCTATGTTTTCTTAAAGAATTTTTATAGGTTCTCTAGATACAGTATTAGGTTATCTGCAAATGATGACAGATTTACTTCTTACTTTCAAATTTGGATGCTTGTTATTTCTTCTTCTGTTCTGACTGCTATGGTCAGACCAGAAGAGGACTTCCAGTACTACATTGAATAAGAGAGGTAAAAGCAGATATACTTGTCTTGTTCCAGATCTTGAGGGAAAGGCTTTTGGGTTTTGCCTGTTGAGTATGTTGTTGGCCATGGGTTTGTCATTTACGGCTTTTATTATGTTTAGGTATGTTTCCTCTAATCCCACTTTCCTGTAGGTTTATCATAATGGGTGCTGGATTTTATCAAATACTTTTTCTGCATCTGTTGATATCATCATGTGATTTTTATTCTTCATTTTGGTTGTGTAGTATATCACATTTATTGATTTGCAAGTGTTGTACAAACCTTGCATCCCTGGAATAAACCCCACCTGATCAATGTTGTGTAATCTTTTCAATATATTGCTAGATCTAGCTTGCTAATATTTTGTTTAGAATTTTAGCATCCATGTTCATCAGAGATATAGGCCTAAAATTTTCTTTCTTTGTAGTGTCTTTTTCTGGTTTTGGAATTAAGATAGTATTACCTTCATAAAATGAGCTTGAGAGTCTTCTCTTTTCTTTAATTTTGAAATAATTTGAGAACAATAGGTGTTATTTCTTCTTTGAATGTTTGGTAAAATTGTCCTGTGAAGTCTAGTCCAGGATTTTTGTTTATTGAGAGTTTTGTTTTTTTTTTTTAAATTACTGCCTCCATTTCATCAATTGTAATCTGTCTATTCAGATTCTCTGAGCCTTCCTGATTCAGGTTTGGAAGATTGCATGTTTCTAGAAATATATGCATTTTGTCCAGGTTATCTAATTTTTTGGCCTATATTTGTTTGTAATACTTTTTTTACCATCTTTTGGGGAATGTGTGTGTGTGAGAATCATTACTTCCCCTCTCTCATTTCTGATTTTATTTATTTGAGCCCTGTCTCTTTTCTTTTGGGTGAGTCTGGTTAAAGTTTGTCAATATTATTTATCTTTTCAAAGACCCAGTTCTTGGTTTCATTGATCTTTTGTATTGTTTTTTTAGACTCCATTTTATTTATTTCTGCTCTAATCTTTATTATTTTCTTTTGTAAAACTCACTTTGGGCTTTGTTAGTTGTTCTTTTTCTAGTTCCTTTAAGTGTAAATTTAGATTGTTTATTGGAGTTTTTCTTGTTTCATGAGATGGGCTTGCAATGCTTTAAATTTCCTGTTTATGACTGTTCTAATTGTGCCCCATAGATTTTTTTGTTGTGGTATTCTCATTTTCATTTGTTTCAAGGTACTTTCTGATTTTTTTTCTTGATCTCATTGTTGATCTATTTATTGTTTAGTAACATGGTATTTAGCCTCCATGATTTTGTGTGTTTTCAGTTTTTTCCCTTGGTTGATTGCTAGTTTCATATTATTATGGGCAGAGAAGATGCTTGATATGATTTCAATCTCCTTAAATTTATTGAGTCCTAACATGTAGTCTATCCAAGAAAATGCTCCCTGTGCACTTGAAAATAAAATGTATATTATGGTGCCTTGGGGTGAAGTGCTCTGAAAATATCAATTAAATTCATCTGATCTAGTGTGTCATTTTACACCACTGTTTCCTTGCTGACTTTCTCTCTGGAATTGATGCGAATAACAGGAAAGGAGGTGGTTAAAGCCCCTACTACGACTGTGTTACTGTCAAAATCTCTCTTTATGTCCACCAAGATTTGTTTTATGTATTTAAATACCCCTCTGTTGAGTGCATATTTACAAGTTTTATATTATCTTGTTAGATTATTTTCTTTATCATTATGTAGTGTTTTTTGTTTATTATTATAACCTTTGTTTTAAAGTCTATATTGTCAGATATAAGTATTGCTACTCCAGCTTTCTTTTTCATTTTTATTTGCATAAAACATTTTTTTTCATCCCTTTGCTTTTAGTCTGTATTTTTCTTTCTGAGTTAGGTCTCTTGTAGACAGCATATATATGGGTCTTATATTCTTATCCATTCTGGTACTGTATGCCTTTTGATTAGTACATTTAGGTCAGTTACATTGAAAGTAATTATTGATAGGTATGTATTTATTACCATTTTGTTCTTTATAACCATGTTCCTCTTTTTCTTTTCTCCTTTTTTCTCTTTCTTTCTTTCTTTCTTTCTTTTCTTCCTTCCTTCCTTCTTTCTTCTTCCTTCCTTTCTTTCCTTCCTTCCTTCCTTCCTTCCTTCTTTCTTTCTTTCTTTCTTTCTTTCCTTCCTTCCTTCCTTTATTTTCTTTCTTTTATTCTTTCTTTCTTTCTTTCCTTCCTTCCTTCCTTCCTTCCTTCCTTCCTTTCTTTCCTTCCTTCCTTCCTTTCTTTCTTTTATTCCTTCTTTTCTTTCTTTCCTTCCTTCCTTCCTTCCTTCCTTCTTTCTTTCTTTCTTTCTTTCTTTCTTTCTTTCTTTCTTTCTTTCTTTCCTTCCTTCCTGCCATCCTTCCTTCCTTCCTTCCTTCCTTCCTTCTTTCTTTCTTTCTTTCTTTCTTTCTTTCTTTCTTTCTTTCTTTCTTTCTTTCTTTCTTTCTTTCTTTCTTTCTTTCCTTCTTTCTTTCTTTCTTTCTTTCTTTCTTTCTTTCTTTCTTTCTTTCTTTCTTTCTTTCTTTCTTTCTTTCTTTCTTTCTTTCTTTCTTTCTTTCTTTCTTTCTTTCTTTCTTTCTTTCTTTCTTTCTTTCTTTCTTTCTTTCTTTCTTCTCTCTTCTTTCTTCCTCTCCCCCTTCCTCTTTCTTCTGACCCTTTAACATTTCTTATAATACTGGTTTACTGGTAACCAACTTCTTTAGCTTTTTTTTATCTGAGAAACTCTTCATTTCTCTTTCAAATTCAACTGATAGCCTTGCTGGGTAAAGTAGTCTTGGTTGTAGGTCCTAGTTTTGTATCACTTTGAATATTTTTTGCCAATCCCTTCTAGCCTGAAATGCTTCTATTGAGAAATCAGCCAACAGTTTTATGGGAGCACCCTTGTAGGTAACTGTCTTTCTCTTGCTGCTTTTAAGATTCTCTTTTTGTCTTTTACCTTTGCCATTTAAGTATGGTGTGTCTTGGTGTGGGCCTCTCTGGAGTTCATCTTGTTTGTGATTTCCTTTGCTTCCTGGAGTTGTGTGTCTCTTTCCCTCACCAGGTTAGGGAAGTTTTTGGTCATTATTTCTTCAAAGAGGTTCTCAATCCCTTGTTCTCTCTCTTCTCCTTCTGGTACCCCTATGATGCGGATGTTATTACACCTCATGTTGTTTCAAAGGTCCTTTAAACTATCTTCATTTCTTTTTTAATTTATTTACTTTTTGTTGTTCTGATTGGGTTTTTACTTCTGCCTTGTCTTCCAAATTGCTGATTAAGTCTTCTGCTTCATCAATCAACTGTTTATTCCTTATAATGTATTCTTCATTTCAGATACTGTATTCTTCATTTCTGACTAGTTCTTACTTATGGTTTCTATACTCATAACTCTTTTTTTCTGAAAATTTCTCCTGTGTTTTCATTTGGAACATATTTCTTTGTCTCCCATTTTGGCTGATTCTTTTTGTTTGTTTTTATGTATTAAGTAGATCTTCTATGACTTTCAGTCTTGGTAGAATGGCCTTATGTGGTAAGTATCCTCTGGGGTCCCGTGGCAGAGTCTTCTTGATACCTGGGCTGGGTCCTCCAGGAATGTCCCACATATGGGTTATGTGGGCTCCCTGTTGTAATTGAGCCTTGATTGCTATTGGCCCATTCATGTGTAGGGTCAACCCTCAGGCTTGCTGACTGTGAGGATCAACCTTGACCATGGCATATGATCTGCTGTGCAGGTGCTGACAATTCAGAGTGGAATTTGTCTCAGCAGAATCTGGCACCTGCCAAGAATCTTTCTTTGGATATGTGACTCTGTGAAGCTAATTGAATCTTCCTCTGTTGCTGTTGGAAGCTGGCCACTGGGCATGCTGGGGCCTCTTGGGAGGGACTCTGTTGCAGGTCAATGTCAAATGTTGCTTGTGATTGGTTGATCATGTGGTTTTAATCCTTCATTTTTTTAATGTGATATATATGTTTATTCACTTACCAATATTATACCAACCTTGCATCCCCAGAATAAATCCCACTTGATTATGGTATGTTATCTTTTTAATGTATTGCTGGACCCAGTTTCAGAAAGCAGACTCTTGATCCTGTCTGCTTTCGGACAGACAGGACCCTGATTCTCCTTTGACCACTTAATGACCCAGTGACATTGAATGACTCATGTTATCTCTCTATGCTGCTTCTTACTCTCTAGACAGTTGATAATGATATTAACTCATAAGATTGTTGTGAGAGTTATGTGATTTAATGTGTGCATGGTCCTTCTGAGATTTCCTCATCATGGCTCACCATACTGTATTTACTTGTGTTACCCATCATGGAAGAACAAGGAAAAGATCATTTGGAAAGGCCCCGAGGTGGGGAAGGATGGCCAGTGGGGGGGACTCACTTGGGATAATTGGGAAGGAAGTGATGGAAATTTTGGTTCAAGGGGATAATACAACAATCTATAGAGAAATAATTGAGCATCATATAAAAATGAGGCACAGAGTCACTTCTGCCTGAACCGAAGTGAGATATTTT